TGCTCACAAGCCACATTAATTGGAGCAATGTGTTTGTTCTGGGAAAAAAAAAAGATTGTAAGATATTACTTTATTTTGAAGGCCAAAGTCACAGCGAAAATCGTAAGCAGAACTGATGCTTTAAAATAGCCAAGTCTTTCCTAGCTGATTCAGTGATTAAATTTAAAATATTTTTTTAAATATATGACTAGACAAAAATGTGACTTAGTCAAATACAGTAATAAGTAATAGTAGTAACAAGTAATAAACTAAGTAACAGTTTAGACTTATAATGAAGAATTTAGTTAATACAATCCTAACATCTATGTTCTAAGAAAAGGTTCATGATTAACAACATTTTTTCCTTGTACAAATATGTTACTGCATATTAGAATGGCGAAGAAGGCAATACCTTAAATTCAACAGGAGCAGTGGATGACTGCTGGAACAATGTCACAGTTAACATAAAAATAAGTCAGTCATACCCTGAATAAAAGTTAAACTTCGGAGAGTTTAAAAGTAACAAATCAGCAATATTACTTCCAAAAGTCCCAAAAAAGCTTTAATGTGAAGATTACTACTATGCCAATGTCACAGAAAAGCAGCCACGGATGCACTGAGTTTGAGAACTCATTTTACCCATTATCTACAGCAGCTAAATTTTGAAGAAGGAAAAAAAGAAAGATTGCTTTCGTAGCATGAAGGAATACTATTAGGAATAACGTGGAACCGAAAGCGTTATCTTCTGTGAGAGAATTAACCCCTACACAAAGACTGCAGAGTAACCCCGTATTTCATTCATTCACCTCAAGCCTTGGCACTAACTCCTGAAGAATGCCAAATCTTAGGGAGTTTCATGGAATAATGATAGGACCTAGAGTTCCCTCTTTTCCACATAATCCTGCAGGGACTTCTATCAACGTATCACGTGAAATAACATTAAAAATTACACAGCTATTGCAATGTTAACTGTAGTATGGACAGGAATATTTCCTGTCGTCAGTAAACATCATTATGGTTTTATTCCAAAATCATGATCCTATTCTTCAAAAACAATTATTAACTAAAGGAGTCACGCCATATTAATAAGCTCTTTGGTGCTGTAACTAAAAGGCATGTTACCTATTCCCATCAACCGACTTCTTGAGTTATAAGATCACTGCTCCAGGATGCTCCGGGATACTATTTCTTGAAAAGAATTACAGCTCTTTTCCCTCCCAGGATACTGATAAAATGAAATAGTGCTATTATTATTAAAATATTTCATATATCCAATACACCCAACAGCAATGCCTGTTTTTTCAGCTGATGATCAATGATATCATAACTAATCCTTCTAGTTCTGAGATGCTAATTTCTTTCACGCATACTGTTCTGGTTTTTGTAAGTTCACAAGTTCTGACCCCACAAAGTGCTTCTCAGAAAGAACTCTAACAGAAACTAATGTGTTAAAACTGAAAATGCACGGAAAACGATCTCTCATGCTTTATAAATAGGCATAAGCATAAGTAAACTTATTACAAAGAAATTAGAAGCAGAATCAATATACTTTTTCTGATATCCTAATTTCAAAAACAAGTACTAAAAATTTTGTTATAGAAAAACATGAACAACTAGCTCAAAGAAAAAACTCTTCTGTCAAGACCAAGGTCCAGAATTCTACAACTCTCCCAGGAGTGGCATCTCATCAAATAAGAGCCAGGCCCTCACATAGCAGAGGAGACTAGGTACGAATCTTAGGAGAGGACAGAACTGTCAACTGAAATCCAGCCCCGAAGGAAAATATTTCGCAGGGGTTTGAAGCGACCATACCCACTGCCTTAAACAAAAGTTAAGCCATAGATACATAGCCTATAGAAATCATCCAACATTCTACTTGTCTAGCATCACTTCAGTATGTGCTTGTATTGAATACCAATATACATTTGGTCATTATCGTAATTACCTAGAAAAAGAAGAAAGAATAAAAACACCTATACAGAGGAGTATGTTGCAGGAAAGTTTCATAAAAGCCCCTACATGGTCCGTTCTTTCCAATTACTAACGTGTAGGAACCACAGTTTTCCTACACATTTTTCTGACTTCAAAGACAGAGCGAGGATAAAACCCTGAAGGATATTTCAGGTAACTAAGGAAGCCTAGCGCTTGCATATTTTGCTGGAGAAAGCCTAAATCATGCAAATAGACAAACATGGACAGACACCGAATTTCAGTAATCCTTATTTAGTAACATGGATAGTAGATTAAATTATTCTTAGATTTCAGGACTTAAACATCTTACATTAAGTAGAAGTACTGCTATCAGGTAAGAACTGTATGTTTAGACACATTAGGCATCATATAAGTATTCTGATGTGTTTTCCAACACATATTCAACACAGATGATCTAGAATAGGAATCAGGCAACTAAAAATAAATATAATTTAATTCAGTATATCACTCATCAGGGTTTGTGACAATAAAATGATCAGTTTCACTTTCATCTGCAGTCAATACGACTTTCCGAGTCCTGTGAACTAGGACAAGACTGTTCTGGGTTTCTTAGCAGTACCGGGGAATATTTAACTTTTTAAAAATCTAGTTCTCATAAAATTGTTTTTAAAAGTCTCAACTACTTCTGAAATCATATTAGTTTTTCAAATGTAGTTTGTTTTAATTTATTTTTAAACAACTATTTGTTTACAAACTGAAAGTAAGACACACTGTGGCTTTCATCTGAACACACTTTTCCTGTATTCCTAGGCCCAAAACATTAGATAGAAAAAAGGTATTTCGACCATTGCTTTGAAATTATGTCAACTTAAGGCTGCATTTTTACAAGCATTTCGCAGATTTCTGCCCCTGCTTCAACAGGCAGCAAACTGAGCTGTCTGTTTAAAACTACTAGCATCTTCTGAAAAAAATAAGAATCTCTAAAGAAAAATGACCAATGATTAGACTTGCATAGTAAACCTATAAAATACATTTATAGATAACTGTGAAAAAAATCAGAAAACCTTCAAAGTTACTGTTTACACACAAGAGGAAATAAAGGTTTTGTCTCTTTCTTAAAACTAAAAAGTAATCAACATGAAGAATTACAGATCCTGTAGATTATTTCCTCCTCATATAACTACTCAAGTACTTGTCAGAATATGCAGGCCTTTACTAAAACTTTTGCATTAGAATTTCATAAATAGGCTTGACTGTAAAGGCAAGGTTATACAGTGTGTAACATATACACGGTAACATATTGCTATTATTTATGGCTTTAAAATATCCTATAGTGGAATTAATACTTCTACACAAGAAAGCAGCAGCCATTCAGTCCCAGACAACTCGATAACGTCTCTTTCAACTATAGTTATAATTATCATGTACGAACTTTCAAAGTAGAAGTTGTCAAGATTCAACATTAGCATTAATTTATGTCAAAGCATCCATTTCTCCAAAGACAGCAAGGATCGAAAGGGAAATTTCATCTTAATTGCCACTAATCTGCTCATTTTTAATTAAATTGATCAGTAATTTATTATCTTTCCCAGCGTCAGAAAGCTGTTATCATGCAGTTTTAACAGACGATATATACTAGTCCTTCTAATTTCTAATATTATTATGGTTCAAAAAATCACTTAGAAGTGCTGCACCATATTTCTTTCAATTCCTCCTGCATGATACGCATTTTCCATTTTAAAACTTTGTGAAGTACTTTAGACTGATAATACAGCCTATACGCACCATTTTTCCACTTAGTAGTCTCATACTCCAACCCAGGTGTTGGATCTCAATTTTACTTTAGATGAGCATGATCTCCCTGCCAAAAATATTTAGAAAATGTAACGCCTGACTTCAACATGGTTCAGGAAGCATCATCCTGCACTCAAACCACATTCCTAGGTTTATCTGCTAAATTATTTCTTAATACTGAACAAAGCATAAGTCTGAAGCTTTCAAGTTTATGAATCTCAATTCTGGTTTCCAGGGGGGGAAATGGAGTGGGAGGAAAGGGGGCCGGAAAACGCTCAATACCTAAACTGAAGACCAGAAATATCTTTAGCTAAAGTTTCAGAAAGTAGTCGACCAATTTTATAAATAAAACTAAACATGTATTTACTTTTTTAATAACTGCAGCAATTAACATGACCTTCTGAACATTACATTGCTTTACTACTGTGCACTGGAACCATCAACACAAATAACTCAATTATTGTCCTGAAGGCACAGGACAAAAGAGAAGACATAACATGTTTTTTACTCAAACTTCATCTAAAAATTCTGGAGTCAATTAGAATATTTCTATTCATTTCTCCCGAGAAGTAATTCAGATTCCATTGAAACTAAGTACCACATTAAGTTTTTGGAAAACAGCAAAGAGCAAATCTCAAGTGTGTTAGGAAATATGCTCATTACCTCTCTTAAAGTGGTTTTATAGCTAAAGAGATTGGTTTATGTTATTGCTATTATATGATACGTTAGAATTTAGTTACAGGGCTACTAGAATCAAAACCATAACTATTAAATATTTTGTAACACTTTGTGAATGATCCTGCAACATACAAACTTGGTTTATAGAGCATAAGTGCACACAAATACAAATGTATAGACATTACTTTCCATACTTGATAAATGCACAAAATGCAAAAGATCTCACATTCAAATAACCAAGCAATGCATTATTTAAATTGTGAAACTGTATAGTCCATTTTGGTTATAATTTTTACAATTATGTTTTTTGTATTATCTGCCAAGCACCTATTAGAGGTGTATTTATTGAATAGGAACAAGGTTTTCGTTTGAAATGAGGATCAATCAGCAATTAGTCTGATTTAAAATCAGGGAAAAAAGGAACAAATTAACTAAAGTTATGCTATATATTTACATTGTAAGGAAGAAAAAAGGAATAGAAACTTTGCTTATAACAGCAGAACCGCCCAAATTTTTTTTCACAGCTTCCATAAATACGCAAGTGGATTATTTACTTACATTCACAGATCAGTGTAACGTATTTAAGTAACATATTGTCTCTTAGTCATTCAACATACCTTAACAAGTTTCAAAAGGCAGTAAAGGTCTTCAACCTCATCTTCCTCACATGTGGTATACACTCGTCCAGTATTAACACTGGTACCTTTTATGAAACAACGATAGAGTGGCAAATCCATTGCATCAGCATATAGGTCAATGGCATGGTGTCCTACTGTCTGATACATATAGCTGTCCAATTCATCAGTCTGCCCTGTCACAATTAAGAAATAATAAGCATGATATTAAGTACATCATTTCAACAGTTACACAAAATCACAGCATTTCAGAGCACTGAGAAAAAATTAAATGTTAATATTTTTTGTTTCACAGATGTTTCATGACACCCTCTCTATGAACACGAAATTAAAAAAAAAAAAAAGTGATCCCCCCCCCCCCCGCCCCCAGCAGGCTTATGGACAAGACGATGCATGTCATGAACCTGCTGCCTACTCTGAAATTGTTGTGTCTACCTCTTCTTTACTATTCCTCCCTGCTTCATCCAAAAAAGGGTCCAATCCTGCTCCTATTTATACAGCAGTTCAGAGAGAGGCACAGCTCAGAGGCAGAAACCCAACTACATTTCAACATACTCAGTGCAAGAAACTTGGAACACACTGTAACACTGAGAATAAGCAATAGGTTGCCAAAATTTCCAAAAGTGTTACTGTTAAAATAGCTATCATGGTCGTCAAGAGTGAAGAGCAGATTATTGTAGCTTAAGTAGAATAAAACGTAGAGTGCTATAATGCTTTGATTGCTACAAAAAGAAAAGATCTGTTACAATATCCAGTCCCTTTCTACTCCATTTGTTTTAAAAATTAACCTCAGAATGTAATCAACTGCTTGCTGCTGTTTCTTTAATCAAGAGACAATCTTAAACTCTCTGATACACAATTAACATATAAAATCATTCAGATAATTTTTTAAACAGATCGATAAAGCAATACACCATTACTGCTGAAATTTCCACCTCATTTGTTAAAAACTAACACAACTCGCTATCTTAATGCTGATTTGTAATGCTGGAACTCTCAATTTAGACCCGCACACATCAGGCATCTCTGCTGTATGCCCATATGGCACATCTTGCAGATAGAAAGGTCTATAACTCGATCGAGATAACTAATTTGTGATGTAACCATTATGTCACATCACATTTGATGCAATATAGTGGAACAGAGATATGTACTTGCCCAAAATGGGCCCAGGGACCCATAATCACAACTAACCAACCTGGTCAAGAAGAGATGATTTCAAATAAACCTCAGTATTTTTCAATGTATGTAAAACATGACAAGGTCTCTTTAAACCGACATTCAGTTCAGAATACACAGTTTCTTTATTAATTGAGACTATCCAGGCAACAGTGGTACAAGATAAAATAAAATGAATGGAACAGAATCCACTATTGCCTGAAGCACCTCAATTAACTTTCCACAAAATTTCCAACTACACACTTAAAGGGATCATTTTATGATTTTAATAATGATATTCTACATTTCTGATGTGGATAAATTAGTTTAAAGACAAACATATTTCAATAAGATTAGAAATCATTTTGCCCTAGCTACCAAGGGAATAAAATGTTCCTGCCTGCTCCCTAGTATTTGCCAGTCGTTTCATTGACTCATCAGCGATGTCAGCTAACTTTTCCCTTCACAATTTCTGCATATCTTCCTACTGAGCAGTTAACAGGTATCACATCTTACAAAAACATACATTAAGCAATTAACATATGTTAACATACTTTAACACTGGAAATTCTCCCCTACCAACTGGAAAACAATTTACTCTTTTCATTACTCTTTTCAAACCTCGCTTCAAGTCTACTTCATTCAGCTTATGCTCTAGCCCAAAACACAGGAAGTAATCTCTCTCTCTTCCCCCACCAATGGCTTAGATCTGCCTGAGAATCACCCGTTATCTGGTGTACAAATAAGTCTAGGTGCAGCTTGTGAGGAACTGATCAGAAAATTGCTCCATGCTAAAACTAACTTAGCAGGGCTCAGAAAAGACGCGCACCAAGGTCAATTCTAATCCCAATCAGTTCCCCAACCCAGTTCACAAGTGCTGGGCTAGAACAATGGAGGAGGATGCATGGGGATAAGAACGAAGAGACAGCAGCAGAACTGCTTATTTTTGGCAGCCAGACTGGTTTATCCCAGTTTAAAGTGTTTCTAGAAATACAGTGCTTGTTTTGTCACATGATATCCCGTATCACTTTTTACTATTCACACAATAGAACTCACATGTTCCCTGCTTATACTACCAGAAATATTCATGTTTTCCTTTTTTCAAATTGCTCAAGCCTTTCTTTTACTGGTCTTCGTGCTTTACTGGTCTCTCGTGTTTTTTTTTTTCCCCTTTGAGTAAAAGTACAGTTACTAAGTCTCCTTATCATTTTCTTCCTTTTACCTCTTAGGGACGATTTCCAGATTGCCCTTCGATATGTAAAACTAAATACAAATACATTAAAGAACTTATTTCAGCCACAGCTGTGCTTCCATCACTTCTTATTTCAAAAAAAACTCCTGTGAGAAATGAGGCTTTCATACCTGTGCTTTCAGCAGGTCTTAAATTGGCTAGAGCAACAATCTGATGCCCAGCAGCAACACATTGCATCATATTATAACAGCTGTCCTTCCCACCACTGTAAGAAAAAGAAAATAGGGTCAGTTAAGCGAAAGCACTGCCAAAAGTTTTAGCCTCTCATGACTTTTCCCTAATTACTTAAATTTTAATATCATTAGAGCTGGTTACAAAGCTTTCAGATAAAAAGAAGGTTGCAAAAAATTAACCATGGCAAAAGGATAGGACTTCACCATACCAAAGCTTAAACAGAAAGTATAATTAAAATGGTTATTATTTAGGTGTAATATCTACATGCAGTTTCCATAAAACGTGCATCTATTTCTAATCTGTATCTTATTTCTAATCTGAGAGCTTCCATGAAGAACAGACATTTATATGAGAAGCCATTCAGAACAAGGACTGTCTTTTACTCCAGAGATGAATAACTTTCTATTCATTACGAGATAACTTGGGTAAAAAGACAGTATGCGCTCCAAAGAGCTACCAGCATTAGCAATCTTTTTAAATGAACATTTTAATGTTAGATTACACTTGACAGGATATTTTGAGTGAAGTTTCAACATTTTAAATGTACTTCCCATTTACAAAAGTTTTAATTACACAGGGAGCAAGTTCAATTGGCTCTGCATGGAACATGTGGTTTTATATTGCATATAACTGCAGATAAAAATAATTACTGCTGGTTTAAAAAAAAAAAACTAGAAAAACAAATAGAATAAATTCTTTAAAGCCTAGAGATGATACCATTACAGAGAGAAAACCACTAATTTTGATATTCACTCCAGACCTACTGGAATCTTTTTTCACCATCAGTAAGGAAAGAATACTACTCTATCAAAAGAAATGTTACAGTTCAACACTAAAACCAAGAGTGATTTGGAGTATACACCACTTAGAAAATCCGAGTTCAAATCCACAGCCTTCATACCACAAGTGCAGACAGAGATTCGGTGCAGCTTCTCTAAAAGCCAAAGCAAAGAAGGCACAGTCTAAGTGTCAGGGACTAGAATACACAGATCTAGACCAGCTCTGTACAACTGCTTCTTGCCTCATTACAGTCACAGAGGGAAGAACAGGAGAATAGAGAGTAACAAGCAGGCCTTGCTACAACAGACCATCAGTTTCTTTGAGGCCACATTATTACTAATGAATCTCTTTAGCATTTCCAATGCAAAGTTCCCACTGTTATCTATCCCTCCAACTGGCCTTTCTGCTCAAGAGCTCAAAAGTGTGTTACAGGAATATAACCATACAGCTATTTCCCTCAGTTTCTGCTTTTATCCATGCTAACCTTCTGTATGCTGACCTTAATTTGCTCTGTAACTCAAAACGAAGGAGAAATAATACACATAACATGGCATCCTTTCAAACTTAACAGATTTTCACAAAGCAATTTTTATAGCACTGAAACATAGCACTGAAACATAAACAATAAATATAAATATGTTAATAAATACATTTCTAATCTGAGATTCCATCTATACTGGACATTTCTCTTATGCATACCTACAACTTTCTTCTAAGCCGGACACAGACAACGTAACATAAAATTGTATGTTCATTATATACTGGCTACTGTGCTTGACACTGCTCATGTAGTTATCATCCAGTTTGTACTATGAAACATCAGTCTTAACCAAATCATAATGGGACAAAGGTTCTTTTTCTTCTGAATGTATTCCTTCTAAAAAAATAATAGCTTTCCAGTGGTTCTGATTTCAACTTCAAACACAACTTAAGAAAAATCAATATATGACAATAGGCATTTATTTGCCTATGCTATTTACAGCATGTCAACGTTAACACTTTAAAAAAATAATCAGAAATAAAAATGGCACTAGGCTAAAATCTATTCATCTTTTCAAGCAGCTTTTCAAAATTAAAAAAATGATATCTTAAGATTTTGCTAAATTCAGATTACTTGATTGAAATCTGTGGAGTGCTAGTTGGACTGCATGTTACTGTATTGCTATTCATTTTCTGTATTACTGTCATCATGTCCTGAGAAACTAACTGTGCCAAGAAAATAATGGAAAAAAAAAAGGTGTCCACCTACAAAAGCTTGTAATGCAACTGTAAAACACTGTTAAGACCAATGAAGCCAGATAGCCAATACTGCAGAAGGTAGACTCAGAAGGGCACCAACATGACTGTTGCCAAATACATCGTAACAACAACAACAGCTACGCAAGCTTTAAGAAGAGACATGAAGGCAGATATTGAGGTAGCTTTGAAAATGTTTCCTGGGAACCCCTCCCAAATGTCATCACACAAGAAAGCACAAAGCATTCTTACAGAAAACTGACTGTATGAAGTTCAGCCACATTCAGGATTACTTTTGATAATGTTCCAGATACCATAACAGGTAGGCTTATAAACAAACAAAATGTCAAAAGAAAAAAATAAGGTAACCATAAAGATACAGCTTCATAAAAGGCTTCTGGAAACAAAAATTCCCTTTTATTGACAGGTGTAACCATTTGCAGCAAGAGAATTCTAGAAGAGTTAGAGAGTTGAAAAAGCATCACATTTCAGTAGGAAGAGTGGCTTTAAAATGACTATGATTTAGCACAAAATACAATACAGGGTTTACTTCATAAATACCACCTTAAAACAAGACTATCAACTTTACATGTGTCAACATTTTAGAAGAAAAAGAAACACGCTAAAGTAGTTTGGTATATAATCCTGGCCTTTTCAAAAGTAAGAAGCACTTTTTAAATAGACTTCTTTTTTTTCCTCTGATCTCTGGCACTAGCTCTGTTACAAAGATTTCAGACACTTTGATGTCTCTTTAAAACTCCTAAAACTATTTCTGAAACTAAATCCATCCTTGTAAAATTGCCCATTAAAATAGCAATTGTGTTACAAACCTTTTTTAGGAGTTTATTCATCTTGCCTTTTAACACATTCCTCTGCTTAGAGAATATCAAAATAAATAAACCTGGATGCCAAAATCTTGTCTATGCAAGAAAAAGCAATAAGTTTTGCTAGTCTGTATTTAAGCAAACCTGCAAAAATACGAGTAACATTTGCTATATAATTTTTCTCTTTGGGTAAGTTTTGCACTAATTTGTACCTACTGTGGCCAAACCCAGTTTCAATAGGGTTTGATATTAGTCATCCCCTGAGATAATTTAATACATTAAAGGTTAAAACTTCAGTAAACAGAGTTATTGCACCCAAAGATAACGATACAGCATCAAGACCAATCCTTTCCCATATGTATGTTCCCCAGCTATGAGTCTTTCAATGCACTAAAATTTCTCAAGAAAGGAACAGGTCTGTCTTTGTTAAAAAAGAAAAAAAACGTTAATCTCTTTCTAAAAATACAAAAAAATATATGCAGTACAAGAACTGCAGAAGCTGACAGCGACCAGCAGAAAT